AGATAACAAGGTGTCGAGCTGGATGAACACAGCAGGCCAAGCAGCACCATTTCTGAAGAAGGGTGTAGGCCCGAAACGTCAGCTTTCCTGCTCCTCTCGTGCTGCTTGGCCTGCTGTGTTCATCCAGCTCGACACCTTGTTATCTCAGATTCTCCAGCATCTGCAGTTCCTACTATCTCGGAATTCACAAGGTGTTTTACAGTTTTCAAAATACTTTTGAAATGTGGTGATTATTGCAATGTAGGAAATGTGGCAGCCAAGCTGCACAAAGCAAGCCCCCCCCACCACCACCATGAACAGAAACAAGATAATGGCGTATTAATATTTTAATTAAGGTGTTGGCTGAGGGATAAGTATTAACCCAGGATACTGGAGAGAAATGTTCTGTTGTTTTAAAAATGGCAGTATTTTATATTTACCTGAGAAATCAGGAAGACTTTAATGTCTCATCAAAGACTTCAGCTCAGACTCCTTCAGTATTGTACTGAAGTGGCAGCCCAAACCAAGTCCTGGAGTGGGGTTTAAATCTCAAGTGCTGACTCAAGAGATAGGCCGATCCCTCATAACCTCAACTACAAAGTGCGCACAGCACTTGTACAGCAATGTGTGCAACTGAACTGAAGCTGTCCTCTCTGCTGGAAGGCTGTCTTTCCTGCACATTGTATATGGGTGATTCAGCAGGTTCTTTGTTAGTGTTATAAAATAATATTTACCATCAACACCAGCAACAGGTCCACCCCGCGACTTGAGCTCAGCACTGAGATAGGTTTAATAACGACAACTGGTTTGACAGGCAACGTGGGCTGAAAGACGACCAGTAAGGTCACCACAGCATACAGATCCACATCCCGGCTGTACTGTGTGAACTCAACAAACGCACTCTCTGTCCTGGGACGGGCAAGGAAAGCAGAATAGAAAAATATCACAAATAAACGCAAGAGGCAATTCAGGAGAAATCTCTTTAACACAGGGAGCGGTGGGAATGTGGAACATAATCCAAGAGAGTAGTTGAGGTGAACGATGTTTACATATTTATGATGAATTTAGAAAAATGGTGCAGGATGAAAAAAGAGCATGCTGACAATAAACTGAGATATAATAGGGAGGGAAGAAGGGTCCAGACCTGAAATGTCAGCTTTCCTGCACCTCTGATGCTGCCTGGCCTGCTATGTTCATCCAGCTCTACACCTTACTATAATAGGGAGGGAACAGTTTGATGTGGGACTTAGTCACAACCAGTTAACCAGTCTGTTTCTGTACAATAAGGTTTATGGAATTCAATGTGGCTGAGGGAAAGCTGACATTCTGAGGGAACACAGCTACATCTTCCCGAGTTAAACCTGTGCTCATCTCTAATCAGGTTTACACTAGTTTGGATTTAATTGTCCATCTCTAAGCTCCAGTGGAAAGCAATCTGCTGGCTGTACTCTTCCTCATTGTGAATCCAGACACAATAGAGTGGATCACCAGTATCAGCAGAAAGTGTTGTGCATGGCATGGTGTGGATGCTGGTTGCAGTGGTTGTGTGATGGAGTCAGGACTGTTACCCCTAGAAGTGGCTAGAACTGCCCAGTGCTGAAGTGAGCTGTTTAAAAATACCTGCCTTGTTTCTCTGCAATTTTGTCCAAGTTGTTCTTTTAAACATTATTAAACATTTAATATCTTCTTTGAGCTATCAATTAAACTGTGATCTTCCAAGGCAATCCCACTCCCTCCATGATAATGATAGGTTGTGGAAAGCAGTTACTCATTAATATTGAGCAATAGCAAGAACTGCTGATGCTGGAATCAGAGATAACACAGTGTGGAGCTGAAGGAACACAGAATCCCGACCCGAAACTCCAACTTTCCTGCTCCTCTGATGCTGCCTGACCTGCTGTGTTCCTCCAGCTCCATACTCATTAATATTGCTTTTATAATATCTAATTATCAATTGGGGTTGTCAGTAAATAACATTTGAAACTGTTAGAATTGATTCCTTCATCATACAGTCTCCCACTGTGTCTCCCTGACCGCACAGAAGTATGGCCCAATGAGGCTAAAATCCCAGATTCTTCACAGGATTACAGAGTTACTCAGGAGCTTCAGCACATCCTGTATACACTTATTGTCAGTTTAAAGAAGAGCTGACTTAAAGAGTAAGTACTGGTGACATTATTAGATTTGGAAGAATTTGGTGGGGCTGATAGTTTGAATAAACGGACACTATTAGGAACAATGTCGAAAGGAGAAATATGAATGTGGGTGTATTTGATAAAGTGTATGGACTAACTAGGTTAACTCAGCTCTTCTGTTACACCACCAGGGCAATGATTTGAAAACCTCTCCACAATACTGCCTGTAGCCCATCTCTACACTAACTCCCGCATACCACTGCACTTGTGCTCCATTCATAACATTCTCTCCCATGTATCAGCTGCTGTTGAACACAGGAACACACACATACATCATTCACTGTGAAGGAAAAAACAGAGTTAACATTTCGGGTCCAGTGACCCTTCCTCAGAACTGATTAAGTTCAGATCAGTACTGAGGAAGGATCACCGGACCCGAAATGTTAACTCTGTTTTTTCCTCCACAGATGCTGCCAGACCTGCTGAGCTTTTCCAGCAATTTCTGTTTTGTTTCCTGGTTTACAGGATCTACAGTTCTTTCATTTTTTATCACATAACATATATTAGCACAGGAACACACACATATCATTCACTTCTGTGTTAGCCAATGATGTCCCCAGCCGGACTGTGGTCCATTATGTTCACTATTCCATAAGCTGCTCTGGCTGTGTTTAATCCTACAGAGCCCCAGGGGTCACTGATCACTCACTGCTCTTCAAATCACCCCTAATATATCCTCTCCCTGAAGATACTGCGAAACCCTGCCACTACCTGATGCCAACTACCAGGTTGTAATAAATAAAGCTAGATCTGGACAATAAGATTGAGAGAAAAACAGAAATTGCTGGAAAATCTCAGCAGGTCTGGCAGCATCTGTAGAGAGAAAACAGAGTTAATGCTTTGGGTCCTGTGACCCTTCCTCAGAACTGTAGGGTCACTGAGATTTCTGTCCACACATGCTGACAGACCTGCTGAGATTTTCCAGCAATTTCTGCTTTTGCTTCTGATTTCAGCATCTGCATTTCTTTCATTTCTTTTGTTCAATGAGATTGAAAATTTGTTTGGAGTTTGAACAGAACAGTACCCTTCATTTACTTGAAGTGTCACAGAGGTTACTGACTGTCTCCCATACCCCAAATTGAAACAGGATTAGGTGCAGATTAAAGTTCTCTCTGCACTGGTCCTATATGTGATTGGACTAAACATGGCCTCATAGAGGTCTATGGCACAGAAAAGAGCCCTTTGGCCCACTGAGACTGTGCCAGTGAAAAACAAGCACCCAGGGTGATATATCATCTGTTCTTGTCAGAACACGAATAGAAATGAATAGAGATTGCTGGTATCATTATCTCTTTTAAACGTCTTAGGGAAGAGACATGGAACTGTATCAATCTGATCTATGTAAAATCAATAAGTAGTCACCTAACTGAGCATATATACTATGGTCCCTGTGGGTCCAGCTTTATGTGAAGGGATTTTTAAGATCATGTGACTGGAGATTAAGACCATATAACCAAACAATGCATTCATAAAGTGCCATATCAACAGGACTAGCCACGATAAGATTGATTCTTACCTTGTGAAGTTGTCTGATGAATAAACCCAATTGTGATTGGTGCTGTTAATCTCAGCAGACCAGTCAATCCTATGGGTGATTATTTCGGTGCTCAATGAGTTGGAATGGTCACAGCTATTGCCAGGATTAATTACAGGGGTTAACCAATAAATCCACCAGGGACAATGTCCTGAGAAAGATTCAACAGAGAATTACACATTCTGACCATTCATCACATTATTGAGCATTTGCATCATAGAAACAAGGTGTGCTCCATAGAATCGAAGGCTAACTCCTGAGCTAAAACGTTACCTCAGCCTATAGACATTTGGAGGTAAAACTTGACCACTGAGACTCTGTGTCAGGCTTCTGTTTATTTTTGGGATCCAGACGTTAAGAATATCTTCCATCATGTTGCATGGGACAGACTTCGAACAGATCTATCAACGCAAGACTGGACATCTGTGAGGTGCTGAGGGCTGTCAGCAGGAGAATTGTACCCCAGCACAATCTTCAACCTCATGGCCTGGTGTATACCCCACTGAACCATTACCATTGGGGTAGTGGGAATCTGGAACGTACTGCCTGGGAAGGTAGTGGAGGCTGGATACCTTACACACTTGAAAAAATATTTGGATGAGTACTTCAAATATTACAACATTCAAGGATATGGGACACATGCAGGAAGTTGAGATTAGTGCACTTTTAGTGGTAGTCATGGAGGTGACATAGTGGCTTAGTAGTTAGCACTGCTGCTTCACAGCGCCCAGGACCTGGGTTTGATTCCACCCTTGGGCAACTGTCTGTGTGGAGGTTGCACATTCTCCCCATGTTTACATGGGTTTCTGCCGAGTGCTCTGGCTTCCTCCAACAGTCTAAAGATGTGCAGGCTAGGTGGATTGGCCAATGCTAAATTGCCCATAATGTTCAGGGAGATGTAGGTTAGGTGTGTTAGCCATGGAAAATACAGGGAAAGGATAGGGGGATGGGTCTGGTGGGATGCTGTTCAGATGGTCGATGTAGACTTGTTGGGCCGAGTGGCCTGTTTCCACACTGAAGGGATTCTGTGGATATGGATTATGTCGGCACAGATTCGATGAGCTGAAGGGCCTTTTTTGCACTGTATGAATCTACAAAACTACGAACAAGCCAGGAGATTAAAGTCAAAAACTTTAAATTGCTGAAGAAACTCTGAACTTCTGAAGAAGGGTCACTGGACTCAAAACGTTAACTTTTTTCTCTCCACAGATGCTGCCAGGCCTGCTGAGATTCTCCAGCAATTTCCGTTTCTGCTTTTGATTGTTTCCGATCTCCAGTATTCACAGTTCTTTGTTTTATTATAGACTAGGGGATCAAACCTGATTCAATGGAGAGTGCAGGAGGATATGCCAGGAGCAGCACCAGGCATACCTAAAAATGACATGCCAACCTGTTGAAACTACCAAACTGGAACACTTGCAGGCTAACAGCATAAGCAGTAAGTGATAGACAGAGATAAGTGAGCCCGCAACCAACAAATCAGATCTAAGCTCTGCATACCTGTCACAACCAGTCATGAATGATCTACAAACACAAATTGCTGGAAAAGCTCAGCAGGTCTAACAGCATCTGTGGAGAGAAATCTGAGTTAACGTTTTGGGTCCAGTGACCCTTCCACAGAACCAATGGTAGCTTGGAAAATGTTGGTCTTTATGCAGAAAATAGGGAGGCGGGTAGGCTAGGGAGTAAACGATAGGATAGAGCCCAAAGAGAGAGAAAGACAGTTGGACAGACAAAGGAGTCGCTAATGATCAGGCTGGGAGGGTGAATAGTTGTTAATGGTTGTTAGATGTTAATAGTTGTTAATAGTATGTGATATAAAAGGCCTGGAACGTGGGATTGGGAGGAGGACATGGGAGGATCTCAAGCCCTAAGTGATGTTGTATCCAGAAGGCTGCAGAATTTCCAAGCAGAAAATGAGGTGCTGTTCTCCCAGCTTGCACTGAGCTATGCTAGAGTACTGCAGGAAGCCTGATACAGAGTGTTGGCCAGGGAACATGCAACTGGAAGCTCAGAGTCTTGAATGGCCGTGGCCAATTAAACAATTCACTGGAGGAGGAGGCTCCACAAATATCCCCATCCACAATGATGGAAGAGCCCACACATCAATGAAAAGATAAGGCTGAAGCATTCACAGCAATCTTCAGCCAGAAGTGCCGAGTAGATGATCCATCTTGGCCTCCTCCACAGATCCCCAGCATCACAGATGCCAGTCTTCAGCTAAATTTTATTCACTCAACGTAATATTCAGAAAGTGTTGGAGGCACTGGATACTGCAAAGACTCTGGGCCCTGTCAATATTCCGACAATAATCCTGAAGACTTGTGCTCCAGAACATGTTGCTCCCCTAGCCAAGTTGTTCCAGTTCAGTTACAACACTGACATTTACTTGGCAATGCAGAAAATTGCCCAGGGTACTTTGTGCACAAAAAGCAGGACAAATACACCCTGACCAATTTTAGCTCTATCAGTCTATTTGTGATTCATAGATTCAGAGAAAATAGGTGCAAGGTGTACGCCATTCGTCTCTTTGAGGCTGTACTACCATTCAATATGAACATGGCTGATCATGCAATTTCAGTATTCCACTCCCACATTTTCTCCATACTCTTTGATCCCTTTAGCCACAAGGGTCATATCCAGCAATGTGGTTGACTCTTAACTGCCACCTGGGCAATTTAGGGATGGGAAATAAATGCTAGCCTAGCCAGTGATGCCCTCACCCATGAATGAGTATAAAAATTCCCTCTTGAATATATGTAAAGAACCAGCACCAACAGCTTTCTGTGGTTGAGAATCCAACAGTTCACAACTCACTGAGTGAAGAAATTCCAGCGAGTATAAGCCCAGTCGATCCAGTCTTTCTTTATATGTCAGTCCTGTCAGCCCAGGAATCAGTCTGGTGAACCTTTGCTGGACTCCCTCAATAGCAAGAATGTCATTCCTCAAACTAGGAGACCAAAACTGCACATAATGCTCATGGTGTGGCCTCACCAAGGCCCTGTATAACTGCAGCAAGACATCCCTACTTCTATACTCAAATCCTCTCGCTATGAAGGCCGGCATGCCATCGGCTTTCCTCACTGCCTGCTGCACCTGCATGTCAAACTTCAGTGATTGTTCCACCATGTCACCTAGGTCTCATTGCACCTCACCTTCTCCTAAACTGCCACCATTCAGATAATAATTTGCCTTCCTGTTTTTGCCACCAAAGTGGGTAACCTCACATTTATCTACATTATACTGCATTGCCCAAGTATATGCCCACTCAGCCAGCCTGTCCAAGTTACCCTGCAGCCTCGCAGCATCCTCCTCATGGCACATACTGCTACCCAGCTTAGTGTCGTCTGCCAGTTTTGGAGATATTGCATTTGATGCCTTCGTCCAAGTCATTAACATACATTGTAAACCGCTGAAGTTCCAGCACTGAACCCTGCAGTACCCAACTCATCACTACCTGCCACTCTGAAAAGGACATGTTTATGTCAACTCTCTGCTTCCTGTCTGTCAGCCAGTTCTCTATCCACATCAATACATTACCCCCAATACCATTTAATTTTAGTTACTAATCTCTTGTGTGAGATCGTGTCAAAAACCCTTTGAAAGTCGAGTTACACAACATCCACTGAGTTATCCTTGTACACTTTACTGGTCACATCCTCAAAAAATTCCAGAAGATTTGTCAAGCATGATTTCCCTTTAGGGAATCCATGCTGACTAGAACCGATTCTGTCACTGCTTTTCAAATGCTCAGTTATTACATCCTTAATAATTGACTCCAGCATTTCCCCCACCATGGATGTTAGGCCAACTGGCCTATAATTCCCTGTTTTCTCTCTCCCTTCTTTTTTAAAAAGTGGGGTTACATTAGTCACCCTCCAGTCCACTGGAACTCTTCCAGAGTCTATAGAATGCTGGAAAATGATTACCAATGTGTCCACTGTTTCTAGGGCCACTTCCTTAAGTACTCTGGGATGCAAGAGCATTAGCCCCTAGGACTTATTGGGTTTTAATCCCAACAATTTCCCCAATACTATTTCCTGACTAGTAAGGATTTCCTTTGGTTTCTCCTTCATGCTTGACCCTTCATGATCATAAGTAAAGTGCTGGAATGTGTCAGCAACATTGCTATCAAGCAGCACCTGCTCAGCAATAACCTGTTCAGTGATGCCCAGTTTATGTTCTGCCAGGGCCTCAGCTCCTAGCCTCATTACAGTCTTAATTCAAACATAGACAAAAGAGCTGAATTCCAGAGGTGAGGTGACTCCTCAGATACTGAAGTAATCCATGTTCAAGTGCAGCAAGACTTGAACAATATGTAAGGGGGTGACACCCCTTGACATCAAGGCTGCATTCAACCGAGTGTGGCGTCAAGGAGCCCTAGCAAAACTGGAATCAATCGGAATACCGTCTGCATGTTGGAGTCACACCTGACATGTAGGAAGATGGTCATGGTTATTGGACATCAGTTATCTCAACTCCAGGACATCTCTGCACAAGTTCCTCAGTGTAATGTCCTAGGTTGAACCATCTTCAGCTGCTTCATCATAAGGTCAGAAGTGGGGATGTTCGCTGATGATTGCACAATGGTCAGTACCAATTGCAACTCCTCAGATACTAAAGCAGTCCATGTCCAAATGCAACAAGATCCAAGCCTGGGCTAACAAGTGGCAAGCAACTTTTGTGCCACTCAGGCATCAAGCAATGACCATTTCTAAGAAGGGAGAATCAAACCATTGCTCCTAAACATTCAATGGCATCACCATCACTAAATCCCCCACTATCAATATCCTGAGGCTTACTGTTGATCATTAACTGAACTGGACTTGCCATTTAAGCACCACGGCTACAAGAGCAGGTCAGAGGCTAGGAATACTGTAGTGAGTAACTCACCTCCTAATTCCCCAAAGCCTGTCCACCTTCTACAAGGCACAAGTCAGGAGTGTGATGGAATACTCCCCACTTGCCTGGATGAGTGCAGCTCCAACAACACTCAATAATCTTGGTACCATCCAGGACAAAGCAGCCCACTTGATTGGTACCAAATCCATAAGCATCCAATCCCACCATCATCGACACTCAGTAGCAGTAATGTGTATGGTGTACTATCTACAAGATGCACTGTAGAAGTTCACCAAAGATCCTCAGACA